GGGGGCGTGGGGTTGTGGTGGGGAGGATCGCTCCCAGCGCCTGCCCAGCCAGGAGTGGGGTGCAGTCGGGGCGGGGGAGGGAGCGCCCTGCTCGGGTCCGGGGTGGTGGTCCTCGGGGCGCGGGTTTCGCTTCGCTTAGATCCGTCAGGGTAGGCTTCTGAGACGAACCCCTTCTGAACGAAAGGGGATAACGCGTAAAACGCGTGGCCTCGTGAGAACGTCGTTACTGAGAGGAGCCAGCCCTTTGGGATACCAAAACAACCGTTTACGGGAAAGTTGTGCCGAGCTTTTGTAACTGCCTCTGCTTGCTTTCTGCAGGCTGACACACAAGGGGAGTGTCGCTCGTGTGGGAAACTATTTTGATCGTGGGGGTTGTGCAGGTGTTTTAATGTTCTTGCTGTTTTGTAGGTTGTTAATAAGTCTCGGTTTCATTTTGTGGAAACTGCAAGGTAATGTGTTACCTTAGTTTCTGAGCATGAGTTATAACTAGGCAGATCATGGCATCTGCAGCTTGGTATGTTTTTGGAGTTTTATTATGATGTATGTGAGACTTATGAAACTGAATTGTCAAGTTGCATGTTTGGTTGTAAGGATAATGATCAAGTTGTATATGAAAGAGAGTTACTCTCAGGTTCTGTATTATGGTGTATTCTTCTCTAGGTTTGGAGCCCCCCGTTTTGGAGGAAGTAGAGGTGGACCTCTCTCTGGAAAGAAATTTGGAAACCCTGGGGAGAAGCTTACAAAAAAGAAATGGAATTTAGATGAGCTGCCCAAATTTGAAAAGAACTTCTATCAAGAACATCCTGATGTAGTTAGACGTACTGTGGTATGTACCCTATCCAACTTGTGTGAAAGTAAATAAATAAAGTACAAACATGCTGAGGGTCATGGGACAAGGATGAGGTAACTTATAGGATAACTTTGGTATCAAAGCTTATTTCTAACTATGGGGTTTTTGTCTTGCAGCAAGAGGTTGAACAGTACAGATCAAGCAAAGAAGTCACAGTTAGGGGCCATAACTGTCCAAAACCAATTATAAACTTCTATGAAGCTAACTTTCCTGGTAAGTGCACAATAGGGTACTCATAGACTTCATCTTAATCAAGCCTGGAAAAACTTAAGTTAATAAGTTCTAATTTTCTCTTCAAGCAAATGTTATGGAAGTGATTCAGAGGCAGAACTTCACTGAACCAACTGCTATTCAAGCACAAGGATGGCCCGTTGCCTTGAGTGGACTGGATATGGTTGGAGTAGCGCAGACTGGATCAGGGAAAACACTGTCTGTAAGTTCTTGTTTGTAACTTGGAATACTGCTGAAATTCAGCAGTGACAGTTTTGCCTGGCTTAATGCAGTCTGAACACCTCTGGGAAGAGACTGTAATGAGACTTTTTTTTCCCCTCCCTTTTCAAACAGTACTTGTTGCCTGCCATTGTGCATATAAATCATCAACCATTCCTAGAGCGAGGAGATGGACCTATAGTGAGTATTCCTAAATGAAAGGGGTTCTTAATTTTAAAAGAATGCGGATTTGTTACAGTCCGTTTTGTCCACGCTTATGTGAGTACAAAGTGCTTTCATATACCATAGCAACATTGTATTTCTCGTCACAGATCAGTGATTTTATGTTTCAGTAGTAGTAGTCTCCCAAGATTGTTCCATAAGCTCAGATTTATTTATTTTACTTCAAAATCCTCCAGAACAGGACTAGATGTCCTGTTTTGGAAATAAACATCCCCTGGAAACTGGTGACTTCCAAATACGTGACCTAACCACACAGCATGGGCGAGTGTCTGGTGGTAGTTGAGATACTGGTTTCCTTAGCTTTCTTGTTCTGTCTGTTCAGATAAATCCATTTTACTTGTGTTCTGGTGATAGCATAGTTGTATACAATGATCTTTCCAGTCTTACGCAAACGTTTTAAATGGAAACTTTTTTCCTTTAAATAACTGCTGAACTAAAAGTTGGGCATCCTATTTCTAGTGTCTTGTGCTGGCACCAACTCGTGAACTGGCTCAACAAGTGCAGCAGGTAGCTGCTGAATATAGTAGAGCGTGCCGTTTGAAGTCTACGTGTATTTATGGAGGTGCTCCAAAGGGACCACAAATTCGTGATTTAGAAAGAGGTATGGATAAGTCTTGATGCATCTCTGTATAGGGCAATGTGGAGACTACTTCAGCTGACTTACTGTTTGTTTTTAGGTGTGGAAATCTGCATTGCAACACCTGGGAGACTTATAGACTTCTTAGAAGCTGGAAAGACCAATCTCAGGAGGTGTACTTACCTTGTACTTGATGAAGCTGACCGAATGCTTGACATGGGATTTGAACCACAGATCAGAAAAATTGTAGATCAGATCAGAGTGAGTATAAGTGGTGTATATGTTTATCAGCATTACAAAAACGTATGCGACTGTTCTTTAAAACGAGATTGGTACAGTTAACTTATCTGCCCTTGCCCGGGTAGACTTTAACTGGGCATTTGGCCTAACTTTGGTGGAATCTTGTACTAATCCAATCTCCTTCGCTAGCCTGACAGGCAGACTCTGATGTGGAGTGCAACATGGCCAAAGGAAGTGAGACAGCTGGCTGAAGACTTCTTGAAAGAATATGTACACATCAACATTGGAGCATTAGAATTGAGTGCGAACCACAACATTCTTCAGATTGTGGATGTGTGTCATGATGTAGAGAAAGATGACAAGTAAGTGGTCAGTGGTGACAAAATGTTCCTAGCAGTATGTTTTTTAAAGTGGTCAGTTCTGGCTTATGTATTTATGAAGTGAACTGATATTTTGAAGTTTTGGCACTGGTCTGATACCGCTAAATAAAAAACTCACTGTCAAAGGCAGAGTGGAAGTGAAATAAGCTTGCACAGTACAGCGAGTTGATCTGAGCTCTAACTGTCACCTTTTCAAAAAGGCTTATCCGCTTGATGGAAGAAATAATGAGTGAGAAGGAAAATAAAACAATTGTTTTTGTGGAAACCAAAAGACGATGCGATGATCTTACCAGGAAAATGAGGAGAGATGGGTAAGTCTAAACAGCAGTTTGAACTTCAGTCAGCTACTGCAGTAGATTGTGGAAAAGCTCTTGAACCTTCATGAGCAGCAACTCAACCGTGTTGTCAAAAGTTGTACGGCCACACCAGGTGTCAGTTAAAACGCTAAAGCTATTTCTAGAAGCTGTGTGAAACTAGCTTGTAAACTTACCGTTGCTGACCAATGAAACTAAACTAATGTTTCCAGTTCAGTCAATCAGTTTATGTATTTTTCAGGTGGCCAGCAATGGGTATCCATGGTGATAAAAGTCAGCAGGAGCGGGACTGGGTTCTAAATGGTGGGTATTTTAGTGATTTTTTTTTTTTTTCCTTTAAGCATGTTTTCCATGTTGGTTGATAGATGAAGAAACTGATGAGCTGATTCTGTTACAGAATTCAAACATGGAAAAGCACCAATCCTGATTGCTACAGATGTTGCATCCAGAGGTCTAGGTTAGTACAACTCGTAATGCCAGTTGCCCAAAGTTTATTTAAAGAAAGTCTATTGCTTTCTTTAACCTCTGCATTTTTCTAAGTTTTCTTCACATAAAGGTGCAGTCTTTGTGGCAAGGCCTAGGCATGACAATCGGAGGACTCGAGGGGGATGGAGGACTAGTGGAAATGATCGGCTGGCTGCTTCCAGTCAAATAGAGAGGTGAAAGCTGAGAGCATTGTGTGCCAGTAATCTTCAAAAGGCAAAGATCATCCTTTAAACTACTACCCCATAAACTGTTCTCTCATGAAATAAGCAGTCTCATTCACAGTTCACTTTGCCCTGGTATTTCTCTTCTCTCCATGCTTTGCATGATTTGCCATGGTGCAGTACTGTTAGTTTTGTGCATACTGTTTGCTGTGATCTGTGGGTCTTTGAATTTCAGTGAGTTTGCTGAAATGTCGAAGAAAATAATTACAAACTTCAATGTTCAATGAAATTTTTTTTCTCAACCATGAAATGGAGAGAGCAGCTTTAAAATGTACTAAGCCTTGTACAAATTGGTGAGTACTGGCACATGAAATCTGAGAAAAAGTCCACCTCTCACTTTAGCAAGTGGCGCAGGAAAGCAATGGCTTTTCTAAATGCCTTTGAAAGTCGAAGTTCCTCCACCTTTACATAGTCGTCATGTCGAGACCTGCCAGAGAGAGACACATTCTCAAGTGAACCCTGGCTTCTTGGAAGCGCTTGCCTAGACGAGACACAGTGCATAAAAACAACTTGGTGACTTTTGGGGGACAGGTATGTTTTTCTTGCAGCTGCAGTTCAAAGGTCTTGGCAAGACGAACAGTGTGGCCCTTTTTTTTTGAGCTTCTGATGAGTGTGTATGTGAAGGACCTTGTATGTTTTTACTCTAAGGTCCTCAAATGAGCACATGAAGAGGCTGCTGTGAGCTTTAGTGGCCCTACTGCAAGAAGCATTCAGATGTCACTTGATGATTTGTAAAGGGGACTCTTGAGTTGGGATTGACAAGCAAATGCATACTCCTTTATGGTAAGGTTTTGGATCACAGGGTGGGTGCAAGACGGGAACAGATGGAGTGTGCATAACTTTCTCTTCCGCAATACTCATGCAGAAATGGATGATTCTAACTATGTTCTTTGCAGCCATTATCTCATTTTAAAGTACTATTGTCTAACGTTTATCTCTGATTTGGCTGTTGTGGTGTGCAAAACTTTGTACATTGCTTTTTGCCACACTGCAACACTTTACAGATGTGGAAGATGTGAAATTTGTCATCAATTATGACTACCCTAACTCCTCAGAGGACTATATCCACCGAATTGGACGAACTGCCCGCAGTACCAAAACAGGCACAGCATACACATTCTTTACTCCTAACAATATTAAGCAAGTAAACGACCTCATCTCTGTGCTTCGGGAGGCTAATCAAGCCATCAACCCCAAATTGCTTCAGTTGATTGAAGACAGAGGTTCAGGTAAGTACTGCTGTTAACCACAATGCATGGCTTTCCTCTCAAAACACACTGGAAACTCAAATTACGCCTTCAACCTCTCCTTAAAATGGATGTCGAAGGTAGGTTAGGTGCCTGTTATGCTGACCTGAACAGGTATTTATTGACCAAAAAAACAAAACACGCTCCATGCGTGTTCTGTGGAGCACCTTTTAGTACGCTATGACTAATGCTGGCCCAAAATATGCTTCTGACTTGAGTTACTTTGAGATAACGCACTTGACAGGGCTTGGGTCAGTGGTTTTGTTTCCTGTTGCTGAAAAAATGCATGGAGCGAAGCGTCCTATTGGCAATATCAGAGAGTGACTTTTTGTCTTCGTGCTACCACTTACGTTACAGGAGAGAGCACTTGTCCCAAAAGTATGGCTGTGTCCCCTCCTCCGGGGTTAAATAGATACCTTGCTCTATCCTGACGGTTCTCAGAGTCTGCGTCATGCCTGGAAAGCTTTCACAGTAGGCTTGTCTTGCTGGGAAAGAGCTCTCTTTGGGCCTCGTTGATAGTCAGAGAGCTATACGCTTAAACTCATTCACTAGACTAACCTAAAATGCAACCTTTATATATAACTGTGGTCTTGTGTTTTGTTCTTTTTAATAGGTCGTTCCCGAGGTGATCGACGTGACAGATATTCTGCGGGCAAAAGGGGTGGATTTAGTAGTTTTAGAGAGAGGGAGAACTTTGAGAGAAATTATGGTGCACTAGGAAAGAGAGACTTCGGAGCAAAAGCTCAAAATGGGGCCTTCAGTGCCCAAAGCTACAGTAACGGAACTCCTTTTGGAAATGGTTTTGCAGCTGCAGGCATGCAAGCTGGCTTCAGGGCTGGTAACCCTGCAGGAGCTTACCAGAATGGTTATGATCAGCAGTATGGAAGTAACATTGCAAATATGCACAATGGCATGAACCAACAGCAGTATGCATATCCTGCCACTGGTGCTGCTCCTATGATAGGTTACCCAATGCCAGCAAGTTATTCTCAATAACTTAGTGTATTTAAGTGTCTCAGTTTTTCATAATTGCTCTTTATATTGTGTGTTATCAAGACAGGATAGTTATTTAAGAAATGGGAAATGCAGAAATGACTGCAGTGCAGCAGTAATTATGGTGCACTTTTTTCGCTATTTAAGTTGAATATTTCTCTACATTCCTGAAACAATTTTTAGTTTTTTGTACTAGAAAATGCAGACAGTGTTTTCAAAGTAAATGTACAGTGATTTGAAATACAGTAATGAAGGCAGTGCATGGCCTTCCAATAAAGATATTTCAAGACCGAATTTTCTTTCAAATTGCAATTTTCTCCACATGTGCACAACTTTACATTAATGGAATGTCAAATGCTTTTTATATTAAATTCTAGAAAGGTTTCTCAGCTGTGTCTGATTAAACAGTTAAGAGCATATACAAAAAACAGCCTTGCCTTGATTGGGCTAGATTGCTTAGCATGGCAGGCTCTACTTTGAGGGGGAAGAGCATTAAAACTGGCTTCTGAACTACTATTGGAAACAGTACTCTTCCCTGCCTAACTAGAGTAGGGCCAGTTTTTGGAAAACATCCATTGGAGTAATGGTATAGCTAAAACCTTGCTAACCAAAACTCTGCTGAAGTGGTGTTGCTACGAAGCTTCTGGGACAAATGTAGGAAGCTTTTTATTTTTCTGCAGCACCGTAAGTGTCGCCTTCACATGAGCAAACGTGCAGACTAGGCTTGAGTGTAATGTACCTACAGCTTTCAGGCCTTGTGAGTTAGCATGCAGGCTTACTATGAGCTTCAGAGATATGGGAAGATTTTAGTATTAAAACTTAAAATTACACTTAAACTGGTATTGAGCAGTGATTTCTTTTTGGAAGTGGTGGGAGGGAAGTGGGCTATTGTTCAGTGACCAGGAACTTTGGTGTTCTGCTTTGGAAAGAAAAGCAGCTGTTTCTCCCAACATTTTTTTTTTTTCTGCAGACTAGCAGTACATGCAAATAAATACTCTGTAGTCTCAGAGCAACATGCATACTGAGCAAAAACAATCTTCCTAAAGCATTTCCTTGTCTAGAAGCATAGCTGGAAGCCAACAAGCACTTGATCCTGGGGTTAGTTAAAGCACTTAATATTTGCAAGTACAGTAGCCTAAAATTCTGGTTAATACTGACCTTTGGTTCCCTCCTCCCACTTGTTTCTTGTTTATCAGTAACAGCGTGATAAGCTTTAGTTAAATGTTTTTAACTTAAAGCTAAATGGCTCCAGCCGTGAATGCCCCTGCAAGAACCGGGGCACAACTCTGTTCAGTTTTCTCTTTGAACCCAAGTCAGTAATTACGTAATAGTTTGGAGTTGGTAGAGCTTCAGTTCTAGAATGTGTTGGTGTACATCTTACACCCTCAGGCTTTTTCTGGCTTGTGTTTTGTTCTGGGTGATTGCTTTCCCAAGTGATGTGGCTTGTGATGCTTTTCACAGCCTTTTTTTTTTTAATAATGAGATGCATTACCACCTTGTCTGAGTTTTATCACTGATTTTTTTTTTCTTATGACAATTCCTTGTTGTAGTGAAAAGCCCTAGCTGGAATTCTGTATGCTGTTAAGTCCAAAATTAGTTGGCAGTGTAGAAAGAATCTTAATTGCCTTTAAAATTCTTCTTTCCTTGTCTGTCCCTTCCCTAGTACTGTCAGTGTGAAGTCAAGCAAATTGATAATTGCTCATCACTGAAAGTTGAGGTATTTGCTAAGTTTCCAGATCAATTGCCTGAAACTAAAAGCACATGTAAAAACTTTCTGTTTAAAATTTTACTTTTACTAAGAACATGTTTTTTATATATATATATAAAAAACACTTTCTAGTTTATAAAGTAAAGCTGACAGACTGAGGTATTGAAAAAGAAGTGAGGGAGAGAGCCTTTAAATAGCCTCTCCCATTAGTGCTATTCCCCATCTAAGCAAATTTAAGCACGTGAGCTTGTGCAAGTCACACAGGTCAAAAAGGTGCGTTGAAAACTTAGGGAAGATGGGGAAGGTGTGCACTTCGTCAATGATGTATTTTAGTAGAGTTTTGCCAAGACTACAGATTCCTGCTTCCTTATGTTTGTGTAATTATGTGGAACTCTGCACCTGCCACAACCTAGTCAGCTGCCTCCAGAAGCTGAAGTAATTTTGACTTTTTCTCTTCTGGATATTGATGTAGGTTCCTGGACCAGTATTTGTTCCCCCTCCCTCTTCCCATGCAAATAACTGTCCTTTAAGGCATGCCTCGGGGGGGGGGGGAACCAGAATGATATATTGAATTTATTGGCCATGTGCTGTATGTTGCCCTGTGGCGTTTCTCAATGAAAAACGGGTAGGGGGAGCGTTTCCTGAGGGGAAAGGTGTCGCTCAGCGTAATGCAGGCTCAAAACGATGGAAGTACGGCGAGCTACGCTAAACCGCAGCGCCCCGCTTCTGGGCGAGAGCCAGCGCTCGACCTGAGGTAAGGGCAGGTCTGCGCGGTGAACGCAACTGCAGGGCAGCGATCTCGAGGCTGGGTCAGGACAGCCGCCTTTGAACCGGATTCATTTTGCTTAAAAGTTGCAACTTGTGGCTGCCAGCGACAAGTAACAAGCAGCTGACCCAGTGGCCTACTCGTTTGTTCCCCTGTAGTTTTTTTTTCTCCCCGCTCTGCCGCTCCTGAGGGGGCGGAGAGGAGCCAACGCCGAGATCACTGGGCCTTAACACGCCTGAATTTTTCATGACAAAACAGCACACGAAGTGTTTTCTCCTCTTTCAAGCCCTGCCTTCTGGCACGGCTACAGAGCCCCGATGTATGGAAATTTCCACCGCTGAGCCAGACGGCCGGCTGGAAACTTGAGCAGCGCTAGCAAGCAAACGTGCTTGCC